AGTCAGAAACAAACACTGAAATTCTTTCTCAGTCAGAATGACATATTTAGGAATTTTTCAGCATGCTTTATCACATAAGACAGAACTGACTGGATTAGGCAATGTGCTTATTGCTCATTTCTCTTTTTTTTCCTCCAACTTGTCATCTTGTGTTTTATTGCATTTTTTGTTAAGCTTTTATTAAAGAGCTGTTACTAACTCAGCAGACAATTGTCTGATGTTATCCTACCTTTAGCTTTGAAACAAACTGCAAGTTCTCTTCTCTCAAGCCATCAAGCAGCACTGGAGTCAACTGTTCTGCTTCCGTTTTTTTCTGCACAAACAAGTAAAGAATCAGGATAATTTAGCTTCAAAATTAGACTCAGCACCTGCAAGAATGAGGCAGAATTGTGAATTCACTTTGTATGCACTAGAGATAGTAGCTGCAATAGAAGCATCTCTTTCTGCTCTTGCATGCCTTTGAAAAACAAGAGAGCCCAGATAGTTTTCAGGTGAAAATGGGCTAACCTACTACTTTATACCACTTTGCACCTCTCAGCAGCATTCCTACCCTTCAGAGACAAACCATTTTTCAGCAACCATCTCACAGGTAAGACATAAAAGACAATCCTAGCTGAGAATTTTCCTTAAGGTAGAACAACATTATAAGGGTGACAGAAACCTTTTGTTCTTTTCTTGTTTCAAACATGGGCTCTGAAGCCCACATCTATAGTTTTAAGTAGGATTTTAAAGAGCTTGTTCTTCAGATAGAAGATTTTTGGCGACAGATGAAAACCAAACATTTACAAAGTCAGCTTAAAGACAGCATGCAGGGCTGGCGTCCAAGGAAGTCTCTCTTTAAAGGTCAGATGAGACTTTGGATGAGGACTCACGCACAAGACTAGTGGCATAGGACACTTGGCATGTTACCTGTTCAGGAGAAGCTCTGCTGGATCCCTCGTGTTTGCTTTGTGATTGCTGATGCTTCTCCAAGTTCACAGCCCCATCAGATCTATTATTAGGACATCTTTCAAATTCTAAATGACATGTTGTACCTTGCTCCTCCTCCTTCCTAGCAGATCCTGCACCACAGCTGTCCAAGTGCAGTGGAATGGCAGAGTCTTTGCATTCCCTATTATCCTTGACCTGTGCAGGTGCTTCTTTGGAAGAATGCAGGCTCACTTGCAAAGGAGGTACAGAACATGTATTGGGGAAGACCTCACTGCATACTGATGGTAAAACAGCTGGGGTTGCACCCAAGACAGGGAAAACAGATGAGGAAATCTGAGACTCACGCTGAGCAGGAGCACCAGTTAAGAGAGTCCCCATGGGAGTAAATAGCAATTCATGTGTAGAAAGTTCCACCTTGGCAGCTGGGCTTTCCAAATGAGGTAACTCAGACAACCTATTTTTGAATGGTGAAAGCAAATTAGTTTTAAGCTCTTTTTCTTCTGCATTTATTTCTGGAGTTTGTGCATCTTCTGAAGCCACACCATCTCCAAACACACTAGGAACAAAAACCTCCAAGTCATTCCCAGGGGAAGATTCATATTTCCCAAGTTTTAGTAGTCCAAATTCTTCATCAGGTAGATGAAAGTCTTTGATATCCAGCTTGGGGGCCAGCCACTGGAAACTGCGGAAGGAAAAGAGAGAGCTGGACATATCAGGGTCTTCAGCAGGAAGGCCAAGAGAAGCAGCACCCTCTGAATCCACTTGATGGCCTGGTCTTCTTTTGTTCTCACCTAGAATTCAAGAGAGAATATCATATCATAAATTAACCAGCAGCCACAATCTCTTATCAAGATTGTCACTCTATTTAAAAAAAAATAAAATCCATCCGAACAGATGGAAGTGGAACTTTCCAGGAAGATGCTACACTCCACAATTGCTCTGCATCAACCCTTCAGCTAAAATATCATTGCCAAGGACAAACAAAGACCAGTTTGTTTTGTTTATCTCCGAATGTTTTCATTTTCCTACATATTTCTGGACTTGGAGACAGTAATACTCATCTTTCTGTTTCATATTTGGTTTTTTTTTGTTTTTTTTTTTTTCCACACAAAAAAAGTCATTAATATGCAGATTCAGTTGGATAAACAGAGATATATATCCATTTACTGGAAAATCAGGTACAGCGTGCACAACGTTGACCTGAGCAGACAAGGCAGCTGAAGAAGTTCCCAGCCCTGCTCCTTGTGCATGCACAACTGTTCATTCTCTGTCACTGTACTGAGGCAGAAATTTCTGGAATTGCACAAGGAATTTGGGCACCATCATGATCTAAATTAAAAAAAAACAAACAAACAACTCATCAAGAAAAGAAAATCAACCCTATTAAATTTTCCTGTATAGAAATACAGCAGGGTTTTAACAGCAGTGCATGAACACACTCAGCTGTTTCCTTGCCTTGATCTTTGGCTCAAGCTTTAAAGAGTGCATGTGTTTGATGAAATACCTTTTGAGATGTGACTGTTTCTCTGTCTTGCAGAGGAACGAAGGGAGCGGCGCAGAGGGACTGAGAGGAGCTGCTCAGACCTGCAGGCTCTGTGCATTTGCTGATTCTTAACATGTTTCACTGGATGTTTATCAGACTGATACACACTTAAGTTGCATTCCAGATCACTTGTGTGGCTGGTAAAAGTTTCATTCCCTGGGCTCAGAGAGTCACTTTTCTGCAGTGGATTCTGGACTTGTTCTGAACGAGACTCACAGCATTTGCCAAGTACTTGGCTTCCACCAGGAGGATCAGCACTTGTTGGCTGTATCATACCTGTCAATTCAGACCCAAGAGCTGCAACAACAGAAAACTGTCTCCTATCCAAAGATGATTTTTCAAGATTAGCCTCACAGTTCTCCTTTTCACTCTGATACTCATTTGATAGCAGACTACTGCTTTCCCTTGGCTTTGTGAGATCCAAACTTTCTATAAGTTCCTGTGATGTTTCATTCACAAGGGGTCTGCAGGTAGCCTTTCTTTTTCCCTTTTGTTTCCTCTGTGATTGTCTCTGATCTCGCTTTGTGCTTCTGACGCTGTTTTGAGAAATTGATCCAGGTGAAGTGCTGCTACCACTGGAGGTAAGAAGATGTTTCTGAGGACTAGAATTCACAGGATCACCTTCTGCACAAAGGAATGGCACAGCTGCTGACTCCAAATGATTTTCAGCAGTTTCTTGGGAGGAGTGACCTAAGCTTCTATCTTTCTGTTTGCATTTACTTCTCTGACCTTTCTTGCTCCTGCCCAGATGGCTGAGAATTACAGCATCAAGGTCCACTTTCCTCTGGCAATTAGACATGCGTCGAGTTGTCCTGACATAGTATTCCACTGGAAAGGGAAGCCCTTCAACCACTGTGCAAGAGTTCAGTGCACTTTCAGGAGCTGTAACCTTCTCTTGAGGAGAAAGTCTTGACTGAATTTCAAGCTCCTGATTCTCCACCAATTTTTCAGCATCATCCAGAGGAAGCTTTGAAGGAAAGGCATTTAAACTACCAGTGTCATTTGGATTTTCTCCATGGATTTTGCTCTCATTAATCATACTGTTACTTTTATCAGTGGGCAATACTTCATTTTCTGACATTAAATCTAAAAGCCTACGTAATTCTCCCTGATCTTCACACATGCTCTCACTGTCCATTTCTTTTACTGCCCTGAAAGATTTTTTTTTACCACTGGCATCAAATGAAACAGATTCACCACTCTCTGAACGTGGCTGTGCAGCTTCCTGGTTATCAGATGTGACTGGGGCACCTGGGGACTCAGGCTGCCAGACATCATTGCTGTACCCCAGAGCACACGGGAACAGCTCAGACACTCCCAGAGGAATACTATCTTCAGGCACGTCCCGTGAAACTCCAAACTCTGGGGGAGTTAAACTGCTTTCCTGCCCCCCCATGAGCATTGATCTGGACTCCATTTGAGCATTGTCCTCTGAGAAACTGCTTCGCCTGAAGACTGGTGACTGAAGTTCCTCCATACTGGCAGGGTGGTTTTTCACCATTACATCAGCATTGATGAGATGCACATCATGCGCTGATTCCTTTCCTTCTGACACCAGAATCTTTGTCCTCCTCCTCAGCTTCATCATACTTCTGGAAGTTTGATTTTTTTTCTCCTCAGTTCCAGGCACAGAAAGTCCACAGGAAGCATTTTCCTGGCTAACCTGTGTACTTTCTCTCTGTGAGCTGTCCTGAAAGCTAACTTCATTATTGAAGAACTCAGGACTGTGTTTCAACATAACAGATGTTCTCGCCTTTGTGTCAGGGCCTGAGCAGGTTTCAGTCTGTAGGTGACACATTTCACGTCTGTCAGCACCATGAGATATGTTATCACTACAGCCTGTGGGAAGAAATCTCGTGTGTGTAAAACACACCCATTAAAGCTGCATCTGAGAAAAAACAATCACACAATAAAATCAACTTTGGCAAGAGCAAAAGGCTGGGACGGTACAGCGAGTTTCAGAGAGCACCTGGTGAGGGGAGAAGGAGATGGGTGCTGCTGCAGATGGCGATTCAGTGATGGGCGCCGAGTGCCGGGCAGCGGGCAGGGAGCTCCGCGAGGCCGCGCCCGGCTCCTACCTGCGGGGCTCCGCGGGGCCTCCTCAGTCCCGGGCCGCCGGGCTCCTTCTGCCGCCGCCTTCCCGCCGTGGCTCTTGGCCCGCTCGGCTCGCTGCGCCCGCTGGGGACACAACACGGTCGAGGGGCTCGGATCGGCTCTGCGCACCTCCTCCCAGCCCCGCGGCCCGGCCCGGCCCGGCCCGCCCCGCTCACCCGCAGCCGGCTGACGGTCTCGCTGTACTCCCTCCTCAGCAACGCTAGCTTCTCCCGCAGCTGCAAAACACAACGAACCGCGCTGGGACCGCAACCCCTCGCCTCCGGCCCGTCAGCCCCGACACGGCCCGGCCAGACCTTCTCTTTCTCGGCCCCGCTCAGCACCACGCCGCTCGCCGTCTCCGCCATGGCTGCCGCCCGCCGTGCCCATGGCAACCGCGCCGCCATTGGCCGCGCTCACGGCGGAAGCGCCTGCTGGCGGCAGGAAGTGACGTACCGGAAGTGCAGAGCGGCCTTGCGGAAGTGTTGCGGCCATGGAGCTGAGCGAGATGCTGTACAACAAGTCCGAGTACATCGAGACGGTGCGGGGCGGGGTGGGGCCTGGCGTCCGGTTGGAGGGGTTGGGCGCTGGGCGCTGGGCGCTGGGCTGGGCTGGGCTGGGCTGGGCTGGGCTCGGCTCGGCAACTGTCCCTTCTCCCCATAGGCGTCTGGCAACAAGGTGAGCAGGCAGTCCGTTCTCTGCGGCAGCCAAAACATCGTTCTCAACGGCAAGGTAAGCAGTGGGACGGGGAAAGGCTGCGTCTGTCACAGCACGGCGCTGCTTCGTTGTCAGCCCCCGGTGCTGCGGAAAGCAGTGCTTTTGTCCGTGGTTCTGCCTGTGCCTCACCTTGCTTTGTGTGTCTGCTCTGTGCACCACACTGCCACAGTGGGAGCACTGCGTGCGTTTCCTGGCACATAGTCTCCCTGACATGAGTTTATATAATAACTGAGAACACTAGCAGGTTTCTGCTCACTTACATCTCTTCCCTTTCTTGTCCAGACAATAGTTATGAACGACTGCATCATCCGTGGTGACCTGGCAAATGTAAGAGTGGGACGGCATTGCGTGGTGAAAAGCCGCAGTGTTATCAGACCGCCCTTCAAGAAGTTTAGCAAAGGGTAAGAGAGATTCTTTCTTTAAGGAAGCTGAGGTTGAAATCTATATGATTAAAATATATATTAATTTACCTAAGGTTTGCATGTTCAGAGGGCTATGTTGCTTTGTCAATAATTTGCATAAATGTCCCTCTAAAGCTTTTCCTCAAATGTTCAGTTTTTTCTTGAGAGTTAGTGTTTCCTTCAGACCATAATATGGAAAGACTGATATATTACAATAGGCAGGTAATTAATGTGTTTCACTTGATCTTTGCTTATTTGCAGTGTCTTCCTGTTGCTTATCTTGACCATCCTTTAGAAATATCTGAGAAAAGAGTAGTTACTGTTCAGTCTTCCATAGTATCAGGTCTACGTCTGGTATTCCAGTTGAAAACAAGAGACTTTGCAGTATGATTTGGGGTCTAATAACATTGTCAATTAGTTTATATGTTGCATGATCTGAGTAAAAGACTCTCCTGTTGCAGGGTTGCTTTTTTCCCTCTCCACATTGGTGATCATGTCTTCATAGAAGAGGACTGTGTTGTCAATGCAGCCCAGATTGGCTCCTATGTCCACATAGGCAAGAACTGTGTCATTGTGAGTACTCTTTCTCAGTCTTTTCTTGAGCCTCTTGAGAGGTTCAAGACTCCTAAGACTTTGTAACAGTAGTGGAAAGGAATCCGTGCCAACCATCAGGAATAAGTGTACTTACTGTATGCTGTTCCTTTCTCATCCTTTTCCTTCTCCACAGAAAGGGATGCTTTAGGTCTTGCTATTCTGAGGACAGTGGGTAGAACTGATGACTGTTCCTCCCTTTGGCTAATGAGCCTGTCTAGGGATAATGCCCTTCTCATAAAATACAAGTGGAACTGCGATTCTATGCAAATATTGCATATAGCCCTTGCTATGTTATTGCATGTCTTGAGTTCTAGGTTCCAATTTGCACACTGTTGTAAGTTAATATGCAACTGTCCACATGTTAGTCAAAAGCAAACAGATTTTTTTTCTCAAGATAAAAAAAGTCTATATCATCTCTCAAATGCTGCTGGGAAGAGCATTCAAACTGGGTAGAGATTTATTTGCATGATCCTCTATACATGTTTTGAAGGGTTAAGCTTGTTGAAGCTTATCAGATTTATCAGGGATATGCAAAATGGTGTAGTATTTTAAGTACAAATTCTACCTAATCTTTTTTTTAGGGTCGTAGATGCGTTTTGAAAGACTGCTGCAAAATCTTAGACAACACGGTACTACCTCCTGAAACAGTAGTTCCACCTTTCACAGTCTTTTCAGGCTGCCCAGGTATGCTCCCTCTAATTTTACTTATACTTGTACAGTGTTCTTCTGCAAGAACATTGATAGTCAAACTCATGTTCTTCTTCTAGGACTCTTTTCTGGTGAGCTCCCGGAATGTACCCAGGAACTCATGATCGATGTTACAAAGAGCTACTACCAGAAGTTCTTGCCACTAACTCAGGTCTAGTAGCCTATTTACCATGTTTCAGAGCAGTAAAGGCACACAGAAGTATTTTGGGAGCAGAGAGAAGAATATTGTTCAAAGAGTCCAGAGCATGGCCCTCTGCTGTTCCTGAACACTTCTGTGAGCATTCCTGAACACTAATGGTCGGGCCAAGCAGTCCCCTGTGCAAGCTGCTGTGTCTTGTTGTTTAACCTTCGCATGTTCATCTGAATGTAATTCATCCCATGTTGTCTGAATTGTGCCATTAAATGTTCTGGAGCTAGGAAAGCTGATTCCATTCCCTAAGGCACATCTCCTCATTGCACTTGGGGAACAAGGCAAAGTTGACAACATACTCTGCAGCCAAAGCCTGTCTTTCATCTCTGTTCTGTTCCTGCCCCAAAGTCAAGTGGGTTCACGTTTGCTCATAGCAGTCTCCATCCTAGAAAATAAGTGCTGTGTGGCTGACATGCTTATTGTGGGCAGTATTTACTATGGTTCATTAGAGGCAATTCTTTCCTTCATAAAAATATTTGCCGATGTATAAACCTGTTTGTTGAGGTTCCTTTTCTCCCTGTGGACCGTGATTCTGTCCTGTAGGGCCAGGATATCTTTTATCATCCTGGGATTGACTTTAGGCTGTTTTTATATGCCTTGCCTGCGTCCTGGTTTTGGCTGTGACAAAGCTAATTTTGTTAGTGGTAGCTCATGTAGGACTACATTGATAACACACTGATGTTTTAGTATTTGCTGAGCAGTGCTTACCTTGAGTCAAGGCCTTCTGCTTTTCATGCTGCCTGCCAGTGAGAAGGCTTGTGTGGGAACACAGGAAGCTGAGAGGGGACACAGCCAGGACAGCTGACCAAAGAGATGTTCCATGCAATATGATGCCACCCTGCTCAAGAATAAAAGCTAAAGAGAAAGAAGGATGGGGGAGAGGGAACAGAGTTTTGGCATTGGTCTTCCCAGGTCACTCTTACAGGTGATGGAGCCTTGCTTTCTTAGAAATGGTTAAATATCCACCAGCCAATGGGAAGTAGTGATTATGTTTATTTGTTTGCTTTGCTTGTGTGCACAGCTTTATCTCAGCCAGCGGGTTTTCTTACTTTTCCCTTTCTAGATCTCTCCCTCATGCCACTTGTGGGGAGTCAGCAAATGGCTGTGTTGAGATTAAACCACAGCAGCCTGACAGGACACTTCTTAGATTTTATTTCTTAAAGCAGTCACCAGTCCCATCTTCTTGCCCATCCTACAGGGTTAGGACTCTCATGGATGGTGTATGTTCTTTTTCCTGAACACTGCAGACCATAGGGAGCCAAAGAGAAGAGAAGAGAACTTTGGAAAGAGAAGTACCATGCCACTCAGAGCTGAGTGCAGCAGAAAAGTGGGAATCTAAAAGTAGAAATTGAAAGTGGCAAGAAAATGCTGCGATTCTCCCCATTTATTGCTCATTGTATTTATTTGCAGAATACATTTTGGTGCTTTTTTTTTTTTTCATTATAAAACTTCAGATGGAGATTCAGACTTCTTGAAAAGATGAATCCTTCATTTTGGACAAGTAATGCAGCAGGATTCTGACTGGGAACAGCTTTGTGCAAGTCAGAGATAGCTCGCACTTGCACATTCCTGACACAATAGCAGACAACTGGCCAAAAATGAATCTGCCTGTTCTGGTTGTGTTTTAGTAAAGCTTAACATCAGCCCTCTGTAGCTTTTTTAAACTGGGACTCCTGCATGTTGTAGTGTAGCAGTGTGTGGAGGGCAGAATGTATATTAATTTGTAGTAGCCATACAGCTGAGAGATCAGCAGCCCTGGAGCCTTCAGCTGTTGTATATAGTGCAAAGTACTTCTATACTTTACATAGCAAACAGCAACACAAGTACTAACGTGTAGAAAACTGCTGTTAATCAAATGTAAAACCACTGTCTGGTTTGTTTGTATTTTTACTGTGCATAAATTAAAGCCTTTTTAGTTGTTCAAGTAACTTAATGTTGTGACTTTTTAAATCAAACTTGAGACCAGAATGAGGTTCCTGTCATGCCTGTGCATATGAGCCACAGTCTCTTGTTCTGTGACTTGCAGGCATATTACATCAGTGCATTAAGCATGGTGTGAAACAGCATCTGCTTTCTGCATCTGAGCTGGTGACTTTCACTAGCAAATGGTTGCAGTGTAGCTAGTTTGTAATGGCTGTGCCACAGAATGAATGCCTTCGCTTCTATTCTTGATGCCAAACTGAGAATCCTAATGCCTCCAAGGTGACTGTACAGTCCTATCTTCAGCTCTGAAACTTAGGACTGTTGCTCCAGCGTTCGGAAATCAGGCCATCCCAGATGGCATGACTCTTTTTGCAAAAAAGCAAGAGCTGAAGCCAACTTGTGTGAGTTGAGGCTGATGTCCCTGTGAAAGTCCCAGTCTTGCTACTTTTTCTATCTGAGTGAAAAAAATACCAGGTTGTCAGTGTTCCTTGTGCTGCATCTGTACTTCATGCAGCTTTCTAATTGACCTCAACTTCCAAAAATGTTCACTTCCTCCTGTCCAAAATCTTCATAGCCCTTGCAAAAGCTGCTTGTTGAGGGACTATCTGAGGCCTCCTTGGTCACCAGACCGGTCAGGTGTTGGCATTTCTGTGAGACCTCCTGCAAGTCAGATACTCTAGTGTTTATAGGGCCACTCACAAATACTGTTTTGCCCTGTTAGCTTAATGTCAGCCATCTCTGGAGATGCGGGAAGCAGCACTGTGCTTGGTCAGGGAGGGCTGTGTGTGCTTTGTTGCCATGGTGTGTCCCTTCAAGGTTTCAACACCACATAGTACACTTCACTGGGATTGCTTGGTCAACCACCACGGAGGACAGTGGGAAGCCAGGTTGCTGGTAGGGGGGGGAGGGGTTGAAGGAGGTGGCTGCAAATTAAGGAATGGAAGCTTGGGAGTGGAAATGAGACTGCATCTGGAAAAGTTTCAGACACATTTCCACAACCACTTGAGCAATGCGACTGCAGTGTGCTGAGGGATGCCTAACTACACAGAGCATTACATGTTTCTCAACCCTTTCTCAACCTATTCTTCCTTCCAGCAGGCTGACCCAACCCTTCTGCTTTAATTAAAACCTGTTTTATTGTCTCTGTTAAGGTGGCCTCTGCCAGGGTTTAAAAAGTCACCACTGAAGATCTCAAATGCTCAGCACTGTTAGTGTTCCTTACATCTGGTTACTTTATCCTGTCCTCTGAAGCATCACTGACTGGGCTCACCTCCACACCTCTGCCAGCTCTCTCCCACGATGCACCCAGCTAGCCTGTAGGCATTGGCACAACTGCAGTATCCAAGATTCCTGCAAAATGCAAAGCACAGAATATGCTGGCCAGGGCCATCAACTCTGTCCTAAAAGAAATGGCTTTCTTGATTGGGAAAGGGAAGCTACAACAGAACTGTCCTCATTTGACTTTCAGCAGGGTGGGACCATGCATGCCTGGAGGGAGAAGGCATGCTCATGGCAAGAACTGCCCCAGATGGTTTTTGCACTGTTCATGGTTTTCCTTTGGTGTCCTATTCTGTTCCAGCAAGTAGCATGATCAGATTAGGGGATGGGAACGTATTTTCTCACCAGATGATGTTAGGCTACAGAAGTAAACTCTCCAGGCCTGAGTGCATGCGGTTCGTTGCTGATGTTCTCTTTACTAGGTTGTGTTCCATGTGATGGCTAGCAAGGGAAAAAAATAATCAAGGAGGCTGGGTACAATCACACCCACCTGGCAACATGTCACCTCGGTGGCAGAGAGGGAGAAAGTGAAGAATATACCAACAAAATGGGTGGGATTCTACACAATAAAAATTGGCAAAGTGTCAGATTCTTGGGTCAGTGTGCAAATATGTTCTGTAAGCAAAATGGTGTCACGTGGAAGCATCACAACAGTCTGTGTGAAAACAAAGCGTGGTGCTGCCACTTTCAAAGGAAAAACACATCGAGTACACGCTAACGTGAATTCCCTTTACACAGTACTTGAGTGTGGCAGTGCGAAAAGCTGCTCACTGCCCACAGGGAGGGGGAGGAGGAGATGGACAAAACCCCACTGGGTGATTCCAACAGCAGCTCCAGCCCCGGTCCCACTCCCTGCACTGAGCAGGGCCACCCACAGCTCCATCAGTGCTCAGAGCCCCGGCCAGCCTGACCGTGTGCAGGGATGGAGCACCGCCACCTTTGGGCACCGTGTGCCGCTCCTCACCGCCATCACTGCAAACAGCTTCTTCCTTACATCCGGTATAAATCTCCCGTTTAAGTTTGAAACCGCTTCCCCTCGTCCCATCACACAGACCCTGCTGCAGAGTCTGCCCCCTCCTTCCTTATAGCCCCCCTTCGGGCGCTGAAAGGTCGCTATCACGTCTCCCGGAGGCCTGTCAGCGTCTGTCAGTTCTCCCGGGGAGGGGAATCTGCTCGCCGCCCGCAGGCGTTACGGGAGCGGTCTCGGTGCGTGCCAATAAACCGCCGCGGAGCGAGGCGTCCCTCCCGGCCGCAGGGCGGCGCTCTTTGCCCGTCCCGCCGGCTTCTGTCTCTTTAAGCGCGGCGGGCGGCGTTGCTCCCATGATGCCCCGCGGCGGGCGGCGTGGATTTTAAATCCTCTCGACCAATAGGCAGCCGTCGCGGGCGCGTAACGCTCGGGGGCCGCGTTTGAATCGGGCGAGCGCCGCCGCTACAGCGCGTCCCGCACGGCTCCGGCTTCGGCCCCGCTTACCCGCGGCTTCGACGACGTTCCCCGGTCCGGCGGCAGCACGATGAGCGCGGCGGGCGGCAAAGCCCGGCCGGTGGCGGCTGTGGAGCCGGCCCGAGTTGGCGGCGCGACGGTGGCGGCGGCGGGGGTCAAGGAGGTGCCGAAGGTGCTGGTGGACCCGCGGACGCGGCGCAGTTACGTGCGGGGCCGCTTCCTGGGCAAGGGCGGCTTCGCGCGGTGCTACGAGCTGACCGAGGCCGAGAGCCGCGAGGTGTTCGCGGGCAAAGTGGTGCCCAAATCGCTGCTGGCCAAGCCGCACCAGAAGGAGAAGATGTCCATGGAGATCGCCATCCACCGCAGCCTGGCGCACCGCCACGTCGTCGGCTTCCAGGGCTTCTTCGAGGACAACGATTTCGTCTACGTGGTGCTGGAGCTGTGCCGCCGTCGGGTGAGGGCGAGGGGCGGCGGGCGGGGGGCTGTGCGGGCGCGGCCGGGAGCGGGCCGACCGACGCCCCACGTGCCTTTCTCCCCGCAGTCGCTGCTGGAGCTGCACAAGCGGCGGAAGGCGCTGAGCGAGCCCGAGGTGCGCTACTACCTGCGGCAGACCATCCTGGGCTGCCAGTACCTGCACAGCCAGCGCGTCATCCACCGCGACCTCAAGCTGGGCAACCTCTTCCTCAGCGACGACATGGAAGTGAAGATCGGTAGGTGTGGGGATGCGCTGCCCCGTGGCCGTTCCGTCCCGCCTGGGTCCCGCATTGCTCCCATCTCTCTGTCTCTCCCCAAGGTGACTTTGGCCTGGCCACCAAAGTGGAGTACGATGGCGAGCGCAAGAAGACCCTGTGTGGGACCCCCAACTACATTGCCCCGGAGGTGCTGGGCAAGAAGGGGCACAGCTTTGAGGTGGATATATGGTCCATTGGCTGCATCATGTGAGTCAAAGTGTCTCCTGAAGGACTATGAGGTCTCTGTGCCACACATCCTGTTGGCCCCTGTGAGGTGTTTTAGTGTATGCTGCAGTTTTGGACATGCTGTATCCAGCACGCTGCCATGGCTGAGCCCTGCTGCCAGCTGGCACCTGACCTCCCTGGTGCTCTGAGCACATGTGTATGTGTGCAGTGTGATCTGCTATGCGGTACAGCTGCCTTGGGCCTTTTTTCCCTCCAAAATCCTCATTTCCTAACTGAAGCTGCCTCCAGAAGTTACTGGATCTCAGCACTCTTCACAGTGGTGTAGGAACCAGACACAGTACTGCAGTTGCTAGCTCTACTGGGCTTCTAATGCCAAAGTGTTCTGTTCCTTCTGCTAGCAGGTTGTCCTTAGGATGAAATTTCTTCTGCACTCAAGTCTTATCTTTTTGCTGTCTTATGCAAAAAAAAAAACCAAAAAAAAAAAACACCAACTAACACGCTTCTATGTCTACAAACATGCAGGTATACTCTGCTGGTGGGGAAACCGCCTTTTGAAACATCTTGTCTCAAAGAAACGTACATCCGAATCAAGAAGAATGAGTATACTATTCCCAAGGTACTGTACTTCTCATGGGTGGATCCATTCATCTTGTAGCTGTTCTTGCGCCATCCTGTTTCTGGCACTTAGTGGGCTCTCACATAATAGTGAAGCAGCTACTATTGCAGCCAGCTGGGAAGGGGCTGTATCAGTTGATGGCAGAGTGAACCTGTAGGGCCAACTTCTTCCTGAGGGGCCAGCAGCACTCCCTTCGATTCAGGAAAAAAAACCTCTGAGCTGGGCAGCTGGGCAAGTCTGTTCAATTTTATGTACTGAGTCCAGCCACAGATGAAGTCTTGGGCCAAGTCTCCATCTCATCTCACTGCTGTTTTGATTTGGTTTTGCTAAAGTCAGTTGATTTTAAGCTTTCCATGCTGCCAGGAGACTGCTCTCCATATCTGTATGGTCCTGTTTCCCAGGCTTGTGTCCTGCTTGCCTGACCCAGAGCCGTGCTCTGATCAGAACCTTGTATATGTTGTAGTATACAGAGCAGATGCTGCTAGTGTGTGCTTGTCCTTCAGCTTGTCTCACAACTCTGCCTGTCTCTTCCTAGCACATCAACCCCGTAGCTGCTAACCTCATTCAGAAGATGCTAAGATCTGACCCTGCCACGCGCCCGACTATCAACGAGTTGCTGAATGATGAGTTTTTCACATCAGGGTACATCCCCAACCGCCTGCCCACCAGCTGTCTCACTGTTGCACCTCGATTTTCAATCGCTCCCAGCACACTTGAACTGAATGGGCGAAAGCCACTGACAGCACTCAACAAAGGTAAGGGCAGGTGTCTGGAAGTGAGGGCTATGGACTGCAGCACTGGATGAGAGCCTGCCTGGCCTCTAGCGACATACAGACCCATCTGTGGGGAATATAGTGCCTCTTCACCTACTCTCCCAGTTCACATGGAAACTAGAACATCTCGTGTCTGGGAGTTCTCCTTGGTCTTTGTCCAGAACCAAAGCAGGAAACAGTTCAGCTATGAGGTGCATAACATGTTTCCTATAGCTAGGGTAGAATGTGAATTGATGCTTCTAGAAACTTGCTGCTCATGTTTGTGCAATCTTCTCTTTCCTGGCCCAGGACCAGAAAGCCCTGCATTAGAAAACTTGCCTGAAAAAGAAGATGCAGCTGGGCTGTGGGAGGTGGGAGACACCATTGAGTGTCACTTAGCTGACATGTTACAGCAGCTGACTGCAGTCAACTCAGCCAAACCCTCTGAGAGAACAGCAGTGAGACAAGGTGAGTCTGCGGACAATCCCACAGGCACTGACCTTTCTGGATAACTTGCTTCTGTCATTGATGCTCTTGGCTGAATTGAGGGACCAGCTGACCTCACTTCAACCTGAAAGGCAGAAAAGCAATGTAGAAGCTACTTATCTTCCTCTTGGCCTTGCTTGCTGTGATGCATGCACAGCAGGTCCTGAAATGTCTTCTAACAAACTCCTTTTCTCTTTGCAGAAGAAGCTGAAGACCCAGCCTGTATTCCCATCTTCTGGGTTAGCAAATGGGTGGACTACTCGGATAAGTATGGTCTAGGTAAATAATGTGCTGGCAGTACTTCAGCCTTTTCTAGTTCCTGAAGCAGCTGGTAGAATCTGATTTGTGCTCAGTGTAGGTTTAATTCTTTAATCATGATTTTCTAGTGTTTGTGTCCAAGAGCATCACCAGGAATGTCATCAAACACTAAGCAAACACAGAGTAGTGGCTGCTGAATATCCACCCTGGCCACGTTAAGGGTGCATGTGGCATGATCCTGTGGATCCACAATGGCTAGCATGTGTACTCAGTGTAGGAATTGAAGTTGCTTATGCAGCAGATAATGCAATAAGGGAGGATGACAAATCCAGAGGAAAGTGCCATCTAGACCTCTGTAAAAAGAAGCATCTTTAAAATTGGTGAGGTGGCCTTCAGGAACCCCCTAGATGACAAATGTTCCAGCTCTGTATTTCATGTAACCAAGTGTCCCACATGTGGAAGTCTAACAGGCTTTATTTTGAACTAGGTTATCAGCTGTGTGACAACAGTGTTGGAGTTCTCTTCAATGACTCCACTCGTCTTATTATGTACAGTGATGGGGACAGCTTGCAGTACATTGAGCAAAACAACACCGAATCCTACTTCACTGTGAGATCCTGCCCTTCTGCCTTGAACAAGAAGGTCAGTGCAGAGGACAGGAACCCTTGTTGGTGGGTGGCTGTTTCTGGTGACACTTCTGCAGGTCTTGTTGAGCTTTGCTATGAGGGTAGACATCGGGGAAAAACATCTATAACTTGGGGTTACTTGCATTCAGCAGACTGGTAAAGTGTGACTCGAAAGAGAGATGATGGCAGCTCTCACTGTTTCTAGTTGTTAACTGAGGCTCATTTCTGAGCAGCTTCACAGAAGTAAGCTCTTATAAAGCTTACATGCACTGAAGCATTCAGCAAACTGAGTCTTGTACTCAGCAAAGTTAATTCTGGTGGTACTTGAGAATTTGCACTGGTTTGTGCAGTGACCCCTTAGGCTCTGAAAGACGTAAGAAGTCCCTGAATTTGTGGTGACAGCTCCTATTCTCTCCAGATACCAGGGCTCATCCTCAGCCTGTCTGTTCACAGCCTGTTCTATTTGCAGATAACACTATTGAAATACTTCAGGAACTATATGAGTGAGCACTTGCTGAAGGCAGGTGCCAACATCACACCTCGGGAAGGAGACGAGCTGGCACGTTTACCCTACCTCTGCACGTGGTTCCGGACCCGCAGTGCCATCATCCTGCACCTCAGCAATGGCACTGTGCAGATCAACTTCTTTCAGGTGAGGCTGTTGTGCTGACTTGCTACATTCAGTGCTATATGGCAGGGTGGTGATCTCTGCAGGCAGTTATAGCCTGAGCTGAAGCTTTGCCCAGTGAACATAGCACTAGAAGGCTCCTTGCTCTGCTTGCTGATATTTAAGCCATCCAGCCACTCCTAGCTCAAGTGGTGGTTTCCTTTAGCAGGAGTAAAACTGCTTCACAGTTGGTGCAGCGTGAATGTTTCCCTTTGATTCACTCTGAGTAAGCGCTTTCTTGTTGCAGCAGTGTTGTGCTTTGTCAGCATGCTGCAGTTGGGCTGACCTTGCTGTGATGTTCATCCGAAAGAGTGAAAAACACTTCACCGTGGAGCAATGTGCTCAGGGTGACCTTGTGTTCCCTCCCCACAGGACCACACCAAAGTCATCCTGTGCCCTCTAATGGCTGCTGTCACATACATAGATGAGAAACGGGACTTCCGCACGTACAAGCTGAGCCTCATTGAGGAGCACGGATGCTGCAAGGAGCTGGCCAGCCGACTACGCTATGCTCGCACCATGGTGGAGAAGCTCCTCGGTTCGAAATCTGGCTCAGCCCGTGTGAAATGCTCTGCTTAGGCTTTCATCTTGATGGAGCCAACATCTGTGCCAAACTGGCTCAGCTGTGAACGGGGAAGTCTGTTAGCATCCCTTGTACTGTAACCTGCCATCACACAGCTGGGCTCCCGCTCCTGGGTACGTTCCAGTTGCCCCCAGGGAGTCCCTGATGCTGTGGTGATGGTGCTGTGTTCACTGTGAGTGGTGCACAAAGGGGTTTTTTGCTCCTCCCAATACAAAGTGTTTTTTAAAAATTGCTTATATAGTCTTTTTTTTTTTTTCCTTAACTTTTCAAAGTCAAAAGCCTGATACAAAAACCAACCCTCTTGTTGGAGGTTCCTGGGCCTTCTAATGAGATAAAGTGTGGGGTTCTCCCCAGAACTATCATGTAAGTTTTGTACATGTCTGTGCATGGTGCTCTGGACTTGTTTCCTTTTGTTGCAGCACAACTAAGATATTTAACGTGCCCAGGTTGAGACTGAGCAATCTGCATTTTAATACTGAATTTGTTCTACATGAAAACTAAACTTTTGTATATTGCATAACTTGATTAAAGATTGTTTGGAGCGTCCAGCCTCTCTTGGTTCCTTGGTAGGGAAGCAGCAGCATGTTGCTTCTAAATTATTCTTGACCAAGACCTCTCATCTCCACCAGCTCTTCCCCCAGCTGCTGGCTGAGCTCAGCCCTGGACTTGCTCTTTGGCAATGCCAAAAAAAAAAAAAAAGAGAACAGCCCTGGGCCTTATTGCAGGAGGAAAGCAGTTCTACACCTCCCCCTCTTCTGTTTGATCAGAATCTTTGATTATGTTTCATGTTGTAGATGCTTTGCTAACAGTGTAGTCACACTAGAATGCTGCAGTAGTCCAGTGCTGATGGCTGGCACCTACTGGTGCTCTCATACCAGATTGGTTTAAAGCATGACAAGCTTTTTTTATTTTCTTTGTAATATTTTGTATAAAAAGTTCTTGGCTATACAGTGTTCTGAAGATAAACCAGGAACAACACCTCGTTACCTATGTAACAAGATTCCATACCACAGCAGAAAGAGGAATAGTCTGCACAAACCCAGCTTGCTACCAGCACTGTGCTGGGGGCCTTGAGCCTCACCCCTGGGGCTGGCATGCCCTCCCAGAGCCTGTGCAACCAGCGAGGCCAAAGCCCTGGGACAGATGCTGAGCACTGATCTGTGTGCTGTCAGCTGGGGACAAGGACTGTGTCCAGGGTCAGCGCTGTGTTATCAGTCCTTCTGCTCCCATCTCTGTGTTAAGCACAAACAGCTGCTTCCCCAGGAGGAACTGTGGAAACAAGGCTGCTGATCTGAGGAGTGACCTGTGGGTTCCAGCAGCTGAGCTGCAGTGCTTCCAGCTGTTCTCACAAAAACTTTTTTTCCTTCCCTGGCTTCTTAAAATACTACATCTGCAGTAGGGGATTTTTATTCTCTGGTCTCCAGACTCCTATGTCTGGCCCTGAGGTTTTGCAAAGATGGAAGCTCCTGTGGGTTTGGCAGACCCTGCACACACCATGTGGTGTCTGTGTCCTCATCTCACCCTGTCCAACTCTGTGGGGAGAAGGATGCCAGAAGGTTCCGGGGCCATCCAGGAGGATGGCTGCGGCTGAGTCCCGTACAGGTGAGCCCCAGAGGTCGATGCTCCAGCAGCCTGGGGCACGAGGAGCGGTGCTGCAGCCACGCTGACCTTGCTCAGCTCCCTGTGCCCCCCAGCTCAGAGCTGTAGTAGGGGTGGAAGAGCCGCTCGTGGGCGCAGAGCTGCATGGCGCTGTGTGTGTGCAGCAGCAGCCGGGGGAAGCGGGAGGTGAAGTACTGCACAAAGCCGTCGGGAACGGAGCCCAGAGCCTCACGGACCTCAGCGGGCAGCTCGTGGTAGTGGTGCTTCTGTGGGAGAAGAGGGGTGTGAGGGACGGCAGGGCAGTGCAGGCTGGGGGCAGGCAGGACGTACCTTGTTCCTCATGGCGCGCAGCAGGTCACGCACTGAGCCGCCCTTGTAGGTGCGAAATTTGCGCAGGTCTGTGGGGAAAGCAGAGGAGAGGGTGAAGTGAGAGCCAGGGGCACAGCCCCACAGCCACGGGGTTCTGCTCTGCACTGCCTGCACCTCTATTTCCTCCAGCGTTTGGCTGCGGGGCCCTCTGACACCTGGAACGTTCCGTTCCCTGCATATTCTTGCATTGGCATGGCACGTGGCCAGTGCTTCTTACCCATCTGCAGTGGCAGGGAGATGTGCATCCTCCAGTTTGTCCTCACCACAGCACGGCCACCTGCCTCCAGCGCTGCCACCAGGGCCCCCTCGGCTGGCTCCTTCTCCACACGGTCGCTGACGTCCTGCACCATGCAGTGGGGATGAGTAGGTGAGATTAGAGGAAGAAATTCATTGCCCACACTGTAATGCAGTGTCCGGCGCACACCTGGAAGAACTGCAGCTGCTTCTCTGCGCTCCAGAAGAAGGGGTGCATGAGGACAGCAGGGGCTGAGGGGCGCTTCTGGGGTTCACTGCTGAGCATGGATGTGATCAACTCCCTGGCCACGATCTTGTCTGGTGCATGGAATAGAATAGAGCGGTGGTGGCACAAGGACAGGCAGAGGGCTCAGAGCAGGGTGGGCACTGCAGGCACCCACTGCAGCCTCACCATGCACGTCCTCCTGCAGGCAGGGCAGCTGGCAGGCACCTGCCAGGATGTTGGCCTGGCGCCGCAGGCTGTCCCCAAAGGGGTGCTGCCCTCCCGACACCACGTAGTAGAAAACACAGCCAGCAGAGAAGATATCCACTGCACATGTCTGCAAGACACAGGCAGGAGATGGGCCCCTCACAGCCTGTGGCAGCTGCAGCCATGCCTGACAAACACAGCAGAGCAGTTGCTGCCCTCGGCACCCGCATGAGTTGACCCAAGCACAAGGCTCCCTGAAATGAGCAGGTGTGCAACCTCCACCTGTCCCATGTTTGCCAAATTCAAGGAGCAGAGGAATGAAGCAGCACTCCTGCTCCACCAGGCTCTGCCATTGCATTGGGAAGGAGCAATGCAGCAGAAAGCAGTGCTGCCTGAGGGAGCCCTGACACTGAGCACTGCTGTGCTGGGGCTGCATTTTGCTCCCAGAGCTCTGGTCTGAATCGTGCGTTTCAGCAGCACACTGCAAGCAAGGAGGAGGCAGCAGGGGAAAGCTAGTGAGCGCTAAGCAGGACACGTGGCTCACTGACGGGGTTCTCCTTTGGTGCCTCCTGCAGCACCTCGGGTGCGATCCAGCCCTCAGTGCCAGGGATGCCAGAGCGCAGGCTGAAGCTGTGCCGCCCGCCCTGCAGCTTCTTGCACAGCCCAAAGTCAGAGATGACGGCTCGGATCTGCCCATGGCTGTTGGGGACGGAGATGAGGATGTTGCAGGGCTTCAGGTCACGATGAACTGCAAGAGGCGGGTTGCAGCATTACCCGCAGGTGAAGCCGCAGCTGCAGGGCCGAGTCAGGGGATGCTGCTGTGATGGCTGAGAACAGGACACGGTGCCCTGATGGATGCCATCACCACAGGGATGCTGCTGCCTCACCGATGCTGAGTGAGTGCAGGTGCGCCAGCCCTGACATGGTCTGGTGCAGGACAGACACCGGGTCCAGGCTGCGCCGATCAAAGCTGGGGTTCTCCACATACTGCAACCAGAGAGAGGCAGAGAGATGAGCTGAGGCCGGTACTGAAGCAAACAGGGCACGGCTGGAGAGGAGGAGTGTCAGGTGTGTGAGCTCACAGGGAGGCCATTTGCCCAAGGCTTGCCACGCTCAGGGTGACTGCAGCACACGGCATGGGGGAACTGCGTGCTCACCTCCTGCAGCGTGGCAGAGCAGAGCTCAATAGCAATGTAGTGGAACTGCCTGTCCTTCTCGGTGCAGAAGTAGCGCACAACATGTGGGTGCTCGTCTGACTCCTGCAGCAGCCGCACCTCGCGGTCCACAAGGTGGAAGCACTCTGGCAGAAGGCGCTTCACGGCCACGTTCCGGCCTTCAAACTGCCCCCTGCATGCAGATGGACAGAGATGGCCGGGCACCAGGCAATGCCACAAACCCCCCAGCATGGGAGGGATACCCAGAGCAGTACACCTGAGGATCAGCTAAGGTTTTTCTGTAGGGAAATCACACCCCTCGCCGTGCTGGAGGCTCTGGGTCGACGTGCAGGACGGGGCCATCTCCCCATAGTCACAACAGAAAGGCTCCCAGTGCCACGAACCCACCTGAAGACGAAGGTCCCTCCCGCTCCATGGCCCAGCACATCCTTGGGGTTAAAGGAAACTTTCCCAACGACAATCACGTCGGGCTCCACTTCTGCAGAGAAATGCAGACACCCTGCAGCCTTCCAGCATTACTCCTCCACCAAGGACATTGGTTCAGTACCTACCTGCAGACACTGCTGACTTCATGCTCACTGTCCCATTCACCAGCTCTGGGGGGTCATGGGGACCAGAGCTTGGCTGCAGCCCAGGTGCACTTCCCCTGCTTCCCGCTGGTTGTTTGGGTGCTGCTGGAATGCCTTCACCAGATTTGTGACGTGGGAGCAGCATCTCCTGCTGTTGCTGCTGCAAGAGCTGAATCTGCTTCTCCAGCTGCTGCTGCTGCACCTCGTGCTGCTTCTGCAGCTTCTGAAGCACAATGGAGGAATCCTTTCAGCTGCTGCCAGCACCCACGTCTGTGGCTCCCAGCTCTGCCAGGCGGTACCAGTAGCAGCCCACGCACCATGACGAGGAGCAGCAGGACCCCACCACCCAGCAGCGCTGTGCCAACAGCAGCCAGCAGCAAGTCCCAGTCACCAGAATCCGGGTACACCTCTGTTTGCTCTCTGTGGCCAGGCTCAGGCAGGACGGGCCCTTCGCTGCCCCGCAGAGCCAGCTCCTCCACACTGCTGGGGGCTAGGAACTGCAGGAGAGGGGATACTGGGTTACGACAGCACCCACAGCTCCTTCTCCTCCAAAGAAAAGCTATTCCCAAAGCTGACAGACCCACAGGCCCCCCCTGACACCACCCCATGCACTGGAACACCATCCAACCCATGCAACCCCTCATGGCCCAAGGTGCCCCCAGCAGAGCAGTGACACACAGTGCTTCGCCACTCACATCGTCAAATACAGTCCTGGCAGGAGAGCTGCGGGGAATGATGGTTTCTGTCGCCTTCCTCAGGTTCTCAGGGAAAGCTCTGAGCATGGTGGTGTGCACCACGGGAGGCAGCTCATGGTGCCCTGGTGGAATAAAGGAGAGCTGAGAGCTGTAGCTGCACAGCAAGGCAGCTCCCACCACTGTGTGCGGCCCCGCACCTATCAATAGCCACTGGTTGTGCAGTGCGGTGATGCTGCCATGCGGGTACTTGACATCGGTGCTGGGAGTGATCTCACACTCTCCTGACTCTCTCATGGTCACGTCATCTGTGGTGGGGCCATCAATCCTGGCCAGTGTGATGCCCTGTGGCTGCAAGACCGGGCAATGGGGATGAGGTGCACACGCAGCTCGGCACAGGCATTCAGATACTCACCACCAGTGCTACACTGCCGTGCACCAGGGAGGTCAGGGCATAGAAGCTGGCTGCGTGCTTCCCCACGTACAGCGCTGGCCTGCAATGCGGGTGCAGCATCAGCTCAGTGGGACAGGCAGGCATGATCACCCCAGTGCCACCACTTGCCACTGCTGTGACCCGCTGGCATCCCGCGTTCCTCGAGATGGTGGCAACTATGACAGTGCCTCACTCAAA